CGCTCTGAATTTGATAACGGTGCCTAAACCCCAATGCATCATTTACCAACGACGAAATGTTTGGGAAGCGCCTCTAACGAGCTCCCAACTGGACTGGCAGGAACTCGTTGACAATGCCGAGCCTCATCCATGCGTACCTGTCGAGGCCAATCATCCCCTATATATCCTTTACACGTCCGGGACAACAGGTGACATAATCATACTTTTGCATGGTCCATACTGTATTTACTCGGCTCTTTATTTCTGCTACCGAAAATCGATAGAATAACTGGGAGCTGGATAAATACTAACTGAGACGCCGTTTATTGGACAGAGCAGAGACAAACCTTCTTTTATGTATACGATTGAACTATGTATTTGATATACGAATATTTTGACGATGCTTTATCTATTCATCCAATTAAAAAATTTAAACAATACATGAATAATGGTGCTCTGATAACGTAATGTATTTTTATATGGTCGTTATTAGAATAATATTATTTCATAAAATTTAGAATATTATTTATTCCGTAAATTTAATTTTTTAGCGTAATAGCCCAGTTAACTTAGTTACATTATCAATTGATCATTACTAATATACGATTTTCAAATATAATAAAGCTTATTGAAGTATTTAAATTTTTTCATTTTGAAAATGATAAATTGAAAATACAAGTCGAGGGTTTCCTTTTATCTATGATGTATCGTGTAATGTTTTGAATGTTTCCCAAGTTTGACGTTCATTATGCGGTATTTCATTCTATAATAATGCAAATTCTATTGTATAAGAGTACATTAAGTAAATTTCAATTCGTTCTATTTTTAAATAATGTCGAATGAGACAAACAATACAAATATAATCTTAGATAAGACTTTTTTTAACGAAAAATTGAATTGTCTCCGATTGTTGCGTTTATTTGAAATGAAAGAGAGAGAATGAGAGAATTTTGACGTTAAAATAAAGTTGTAAATACGTAGGTGACCCAAAAGGTATCCAACGACCAGTGGGTGGTCACATAGTGACCCTCTGCTGGAGCATGCACGCAATTTATGGAATGGATAAGAACTCTGTGTGGTGGGCCGCCTCGGATCTCGGTTGGGTCGTCGGCATTTCCTACATCTGCTACGGGCCGCTCCTCTATGGAGCCACCAGTGTTATGTATGAGGGCAAACCTGATAGAACTCCAGACGCCGCCCAATACTTCAGGTCGGTAGTATAGTCAATTCTTTGTTTTGACACGATCATACGTACTAAATATTTCAAACCAATTTTCAATTCCGTTATTCTGTCTTATTACGTTATACACTATGATGGAAGAGATGTGACTGAAATCATTACGTTAATTTTATTATTAAATTAATTGGAGGAAGAGTTATGTTTTGATTTAAGATATGTAGGTATATCGAGAAAATCGTGGACATAAAGGATGCTGATCTTATTTTTCATTGCTTCAAAAGCTAATAACCAATAGTTATGTCAAAGAACATTGACAAGCATAACGTAAAATGTAAACCACTATGTACTTTTTTAACTGATAAATATTTCATTGTGTAGTTTTAACATTTACTTAAATATAATCAAATCGTAAAATATGTTGTAACTGAAGATAAATATTAATTATAACTGTATTGTTTCCATGATTGTGAATATTATAAAGTATTTGTGCTAAATATAAATGAACTAGATCATTAACTTTTAAAGATTTCGTTGTGCTCATGAAAGTTAAAATTGCTACTTGGTACTAATGTTTCGCTATAATCAATATAAATTTAATACACGTGCATTATTAAGTGAATAATCATTTATAATCTAGATATTATTTTCTATATAAAATACATGAAAATTGGTGTAATATAAAACATATATATATATAATAAACTATTATGTTTAGTTTGTAAAATGAAAAGGAAAATTAAAAATTTTGAATATTTCTTTCGATATGGAAATTGAAAGAACTCTAAAAACTGGATTATCTCTTTTACCGTATTAACTCTATTAACTGAACTTAATAATAAGAACTATAGCTTGATGTTTTTAAATCAAATTCTTAAATGTAGCTTAAATAAAAATTTAATAAAGTATATTTTGAAAACATCAAGCTTTGCAAAAAATATAGCAAATTACTATCTACTTTTTATTTACATACTACTATTGTGTTGCAACTTCGAAACTCAATAAATCGAAACTTGTGGGAATAACTATTTGTCAAGTAAGAAAAGTTACCTAGAGGGTTGAATATCTTTGACTTCTTTTCAGTAATGTCAAAGTTTGGAACTGATTGTATTTTCAAGAAAAGTCAATAACAAATGTTTCCTCACTCAATTCTTCATAGCGTAGAAGCGATTGTTTTCTTAGCCTCGTATATAAAAAAATTTTATTCGTAAAACATAAATATTAGATTAGACCTGTATATTACCTGTTTTATAAAACGTATTTTCAAAATATAAAGCATTGATTCGACAGTCAGTCAACTATTATTCAACTAATTTTCTACGATATATCGATTTTTTTTAGGATCATAGATCAGCACAAAGTCAACGCTCTTTTTACCGTACCAACTGCCTTCAGAGTATTAAGGAGAGCGGATCCAGATACGCTATTAGGAAGGAAATACTCGACAAAATCGTAAATTCACACATTTTTGATTTACAATTAATTAATTCATCAAAGACTTGTATGCATTTTTAATCAATAAATCCATTATTGCCATACACTATGATCAATTAAAGATCATAATAAAAATACTACTAAAATAATGATAAAATAAACATAGTATCAACATTTTACTAAGCTATCTTACGATTCGCTATTATATACAATTAAATCCTAATTTGATTAGAAAGGTACTCATACTCATCGAAAAAAAAGGCAACTGAAAATTAAATACTCGATCGATCACAGGTTGAGAGCAATCTTTGTCGCGGGTGAACACTGTGATTACGAGGCGAAGATCTGGGCAAAAAAGGCGTTCAACGTGCCAATATTGAATCACTGGTGGCAGACAGAAACCGGGCATGCCATCACCGCCACATGCCCGGGACTCGGACACTCTCTCAATCCACCGAGATATAGCACCGGTTTGCCCATACCCGGATACTTAGGTTAGTTGCTAACGAACTTTTCAAACTCGAGTTAAATTAATGTTTATTGTTGAGCATTCGAATGTATTTGTTTAAAACCAAATGTGTAATAAAACTATGATAGTTATTCTAGTCATATTCAGATTTATTTTTACAGTTAAAAGTTTACAAATGAAGGCTCTATTCAATAATTAAGGCGATAGAAAAAAAAATAGAATAACACATACCTTTTATATCTACGACAATGTGAGCCTTAAATATGAAAATATTACAATGTTCAATACAAGGTTCAAAGTACAAATATGTATTAAGTGATATGAATAAAAAAAAGAAGATATTAGGAAAAAGAAAGTACCTTCAAATTTGGTTAAATAATATCTAAGTAAAAGCAGTAGTGGAACTAATTTTTTGTCGTATCCTTGACTCTTGATTCTGGTGCAGTTCAGGTTCTGAGAGAAGATGGCAGTATGACGAAGGTCAACGAACTCGGTAGAATCGCCATCAGATTGCCGCTACCCCCCGGCACCATGTCAACCCTTTACCGAGCGCACGACAGATTCAAGGACATCTATTTCTCCAAGTATCCTGTTAGTATCTAATTGATGCGCTATTCCATTATAAATTATGAATAAATGATTCTCTATGTAATCTTGCAAATTTACTTTAATTAATTTCCTCAATATGGTATAATCAATATGGTATAATTTAATTGACTACAGATTGCTAATATTTAATTAGCAATAATAATAATAATTATTATTATATTTTCAATCTCAAATTAATTTTTTGTAAATTAATCTGTAATTTTACTACAAATCAATTTAGAAATTATCGAAAAATGTTTAATTTTTTTATAAAATAAACTTAATCACTTTTATTCATTTCTTTTAATATGTAAAAATATTTAAATGACTCTGCAATGAGTCATTATATACAGGTTTTGAAAATATTGAAAGTACCACTGAAATACTTAAAATATATGAAACAAAACATTTCCCAAAAAACTATTTTTCTTGGATCTTGGAGTTATAGATTTTGTAAAAGTGTTCGTTGAATTTGTATCGATACTACAGATAAATATCTTTGTAAACTTGTATGATAAAATGTGTTACTATTACCTATGATGATTAATTTACATTGACCTTTTATAATATCATATATAAGTCCTTTTACTCCAATTAGATGATTCGTTCTTTATTATAAATAATAGTATAAATAAGTGCTTGCAGGTTAACAGTGATGTTTCTAACGATTTTCATAACTAAGGTAGATGAAAAATTATTTTATCAGAAAAACAAAGCGAAAAGCTTATTTTATTCATCTTTATTGTATTTTTAACGACTTTCAAAATTATTTTTTTTAACTAGGTAATTATCTCACATCTCATCGATAAAGCTTTTGCATTCAGACGAAAATTAAAATACTTGCTCCGAATTTATCTATCAAATGCATTAACGAACAATTAAATTTCCTACTTATGAATAGATATGTTTTCAATTAAGCACGAAGAATTATTAATATGGAATGACACGATAAATGTTCTTTATAATAATTTGTTTATGTGACACATTTGGATATACTGATGACTTTCGCAACTTAGATAATTCACTTAATTCGAAGAAATGTTTTCGCAAGGTTTTTCATATAAATATAATTGTTAGAAAAATGAATAATATATGATATAATGAGATATAAGAATTTTAATAAGAAAATAATTAATTTCTAATTTAATGTTTATTAATAATATATTAAAATAAGCATGAAAGGTGTTTAGTAATAAACTACTTTAAAAAGTTTAATTAGAAAGATTGCATACCCGTTATACAATAATTATATTTTTATTTGAAAACACTCTTAATAAATTAACAAACAAAATAAAAAGAGTGAAAAAATTATAAAATTCCATTAAACAAATTTTACAGGGATTCTACGATACGATGGATGCCGGTTACATCGATGAGTTCGGTTATGTGTATGTAACAGCACGTGACGACGATGTCATAAATGTAGCTGGACATCGACTATCAACCTCCGCTTTAGAAGATGTCATTCTTGGTCATCCGGAAGTTATTGACACCGCAGTTGTTGGCGTCCCTGAAAATACTAAGGGTGAAATTCCTCTCTGTCTTTACGTTATAAAAAATGGTAAAATTTTATTTATATTTACAATTTATAGAGTTTAAGCTATAATGAATAAATGTAATATTAATATAATTGCACACGATTAAAGTTTTTGCATATGTATAAAAGTTAATATTTAATTTTGTCTTTAAATAATTTTTAATTTTTAAAGAAAATCTTTATCTTTTTTTCAACTTATTACTTCAAAAATAGATGTATTTAAAGTACAGACTTGAACAACTTCAATCAAGAACGATAACTACTATTACATTCAGAATTTCATTTACTTAATTTTAAATGGTTTTAAAACGCTATTAAAATACTAAACGTATTACTAGTATCACTTTATGATATGGATTTTTACAGATAGTATGAAAGATGAATGTGAGATCAATAAGGAATTGATATCTCGTGTTAGGGAACTGATTGGACCTATTGCTTGCTTTAAAGTTGTTGGAGCAGTTACGGCATTACCAAGAACGCGATCGGGTAAAACCTGTCGAAAATCTATTGCAACACTTGCACGTTCGAAACCTGTTAAGGTATATATTGGCATAGTGATGCAATCAATTTTAATATTAAACTATGTAATTAGTATAAGAAAAAAAATTCCATCCAATTGGAGTTGTGATTCCACTGTGTTGTTATTATTTCAGATTCCAAGTACAATTGATGATCCAACAGTCTATCCCGAAATTAAGAAGGTTTTGCAAAAATTAGGTTATGCGAAATTGGCACCTGATCCAGAATAGAAGGCAAATATTAAATTCATTAAGCCTCAGTTATATTATATATCGAGTGAATTTAACCAATTACAAAAATTTAACATTAGCTTCTTACTGACAAATATAATATATATTTTCAGATCAAATGAATTATGTAAAATTATAAATTGCATATTTTTTATTAAAAAATTATAAATTATATTTTTATAATTTTCAAATTCGTCAAACTCAGTTCAATAATTATATATAAATATATTACACGCACACGTTCACGCACGTATAAACACGTATCAATTATAAATATATATCTGCACGAATGATGTTCAGTATTTCTTCTTCCTCTTTCTTTTTCCTTTTGATAATTGTACTGGTTTTTGATTGACTGGAGTGTTAATATTTTTTCTTTTCGGAGCTTCAGAAATGTCCATTACTTCGATTGGAGAGTCTTTTGTATTTTTATCTGAATATCCTGATGTAACAATAGATTCTGAATCGTATGGAATACTGAAACCTGGAATCTAATAACAAATAAATTTTTGTAAATAAATGTTTTATTATATTAATAGATATGAAGCTATATCTAAATTAATTATAATTCGTAGCTTATTAAATGGACTATAAAAATTTAATACTTCATAAATAAATTTTTAAAAATAAATTTTACTGAATAACATAAATCAGTGTAATTTTATTAAAATTATGTTGACAACTATAAAACATGACATTTGTCCTTACCACTGGTTTCACTAGTTTAAATATCAATTTCTCGTGCTGAATGTTAGATCTATCAAGACTTAATTGTACAGTTACTTGATCAAAAGGCCGGAAAATTATATCGCCATATTGTTGGATATGTTTCTCAGCGTCAAAAATAAAATTAACCTCGGGTACTTCTCCTTTTTTGCTCAAATATAATGTTCCTTCCAAACCAAATTTAGGGATGAGAATTTGTAATGCATTCTTACGTACGAAGAGAATGTACCCGTCCTCTAACTGTACTTTATTTCTAAAGAAAAGCTGAAATAATGTAGAGACGGGAATAAATTACGAATCATTATTATTCGATTTCGACATATATTAGATGAATTTTGAAAAAATCACGCGATTAATAACAAATATTCATACATGAATATTT